CACTGATGTGTCATCAAAAGGTCAAAGATGCCTCATCCACCAGCTATGATCAAAAGTAATCTGTCATTTGAGACTATGAGCTGCAACTGTGTCCCCGCCAGGCTTTATTGGGAATGGCATAAATATGTCAAATGGTGTCTGACACCTCAGCCATGTGAGCCCCATTTAAGTCAACAGGAGAAGCATGGCTGAAATATAGAATTACAGAGCATTGTTTATTACATGGAATAAATACTAAGGTGTTTGTTTTTTTTTCAAAATTAGATTTGCCTTGTCATGATATAGAATTAGTCCTATGCCTTTTGAAAGTATGAAAAGACTGAATAACTGTGATTTCTCCCACCCGTTCCTTAGCCATTTCCCCCTTCCAATCTTGTAGTCATTTTGCTTTTTAGCAGCTTGGATGAAAGGATTGATAGAAGAACCAGTGGGAGAAGCCACAGTTTCTTTGTCTACCACAGCAGGTGATTTTAACAGTACAGAATAAATCTGTAGCAGACCTAAATTGAATGTAAAGATCTAAGGCTTACCTAGACATACAGCCCCCAATTCTCTGCTGCAACAGTGTTTGCAAGCTTCTGGCACTATCCAACTGGGAGAGAAATGTTTTTTTCAAAACTTTTGGACTGTGCACATTAAAATTAATTTCTTTGCCTACTGAACCCCTGGGACATATAATGGCACATACTTGTCCCATTCTCACTGTGGGTATTTATCTCATTTTGAAATGGCAGCAATTTTATATCTTAAAAAGCCATTAAGCTCAAATCCTAACTTACTGATACAATGTTACATAATTGAAACAGACTTGGAGGATAGCTACTTATTTAACCATGACTTTGCTCAACTGTGTTTGTTGACTAAGTCATTTTTGGCTGGGTATCATATATATTATACAGTTTGATGTAATGGTTAAGGTGCCAGCCAAGAAACCAGGACACTGTGAGTTCTAGTTCTGCCTTAAGCATGAAAACCAGCTGGGCTCAATTCATTTCACAGGGAAAATAGGAGGAGGAAGGGGTGTTATGTATGTTTGCTGCCTTGAGTTATTTATAAAGTAATAAAGGCAAGATAACAATTTAATAAATAATAAACATTGTAAGAATAAACAAAAATGTGGATGCTCTGTTTAAGGTAAAAACATGTACCATATGTCAGAGTAAAGATTATGTATTCCACAGTATAACAGTGAGGTTAATAAAATAACTTTTAACAGTGGGGTTAATAAAATAACTTTTAGAAGTTTTCTTGGTCAATGTTACAAGTGAAACAACTACTTAATTTATAATTGCTGTCCAAGAAAACAGTGGATAATACAAGTCCTTTACCCATTACTTCTGAGCCTTCAGCATTTGAAAAATTATACAAACATATGAGAGGACTATTCTAATTTGATTATGTCATGTTTGTTCCTGTTTGGAAGAACTTCTAACATATTTCAACAACAAGTTCTACTTTCTTAGTAACCGACAGCTCCCACTTTTGCTTTCCATGGTGTATTATTTTAGGGCAAGGCAGATTACTCAAATGTCACATATGTGGCAATGTGAAAAAGAGCTTGTTCTATTTTAGAACAAGCAAAGCAGCACTCTAGATAACTAAAGGAAAGGTTAAGACTAGATAATATGGCTATACTACTTTTTAATCACAATTTACATTGGGGTGAAATCAAATCTTAAAGTAATCTTCTTTGCCTGATTTGGATTTTATTTTATTTCCAAAAATGATTATCTCATCTGGGGAAATTAAAGGCACTTCATGCTCTCTTACCACTCAATAGTGAAGTTCAAGGAAAAGACTGTATATAATAGTAAATCTGAATCTTCTAATCAGATAGCTTCAGAATGCCTACAGAATGGGCACTGGAATCAATTTGAAATGTAGGAATAGGGTGTCTCATAGCTTGTCTTTTAGAGAGGTCAGTCCTGGAATTAGAGCTGTGTAGACCAAGTTTGGTTTAATTTTAAAGGATTTTGAAATCTCCAGTCAACAGAACTGCGTTTCCCCGAAAATAAGATCCAGTCGGAAAATAAGCCCTAACATGATTTTTCAAGATGCTCGTAATATAAGTCCTACCCCAAAAATAAGTACCCCATTTAAGATTATCAGCCGGACGGACACATTTAGTACCATATTTCCCCAAATATAAGACCTAACTGAAAAATAAGCCATTATTTTTTGGAGCAAAAAATAATATAAGACCCAGTCTTATGTTCAGGGAAACACGGGTAACAAATTAAGCAAGTATACTAGCGTTTTCTAATATTTAGTGAGATATAATATATTTTAATTTAATTTATGGTAATTATTTCTAAATATCTATCTCTTTATCTATCTCTATCATCTATCTAGCTACCTATCTATCAATCATCTCTCTGTCTATCTTAACCTTAACCTGTGAAGACTTTATAGTTAATTTCTCTCAACTCTTTTGGTGCTGTGAAGATGCCTATCAGAATACAGACAAAGTTTTCTTGCCAAGATTTCTCTAGATTCCTCTCCTTACCCAAATTGGAGGACATGGAATCATACTGAAAGGGAGCCTGGATAGCTCAACAGACAGAGCTCTGTAATTTAAGACCAGCTGTCTGCAATTAAAGTAAGATCAAATCCCGCCAGGCTCAAGGTTGACTCAGCCTTCCATCCTTTCTAAGGTAGGTAAATTGAGGAGCCAGTTTGTGGGGGCAATAAGCTGACTTTGTATAAATATATAAAAGTATGAAGGCTATTGCTTAACGCATTGTAAGCCACCCTGAGTCTCCGGAGAAGGGCGGCATATAAATCAAATTTTAAAAAAATGAAAGGAAAGAAAGACAGGGTTGACTGTGGTTGTGGTTACACAATCCAGTTGATTGTGTAATTTAACTTATATCCTTATTCTCTACTTTATGGGGGCAATTTGACACACCCAACATTCCAACACAGGGATTAGGCCTTTGGAGTATATTATTTTGCTTGCCAACCTCCTGTAACTCAGGAGCTTGAGCACACAGCAAGAATTTTGGATCAATATGAACATGGAGAGATTGATTATCCCCCATCCATAGTTGACATCTCCACATACTTTAAAAAAATGGCAGCACACCAAAATAACATATATCTGTCAGCCCTTCAGGATAACCTAGGTCAGGAAAAAGACACTACATAAAATACTGGGGACACTATTTTACTGATATAGGCTGTAATAATAGAAATTCTGTCAGTATTTCTTCTTCTCTACCTCTTATATCAAAGAGAATCAAGGCAAAGCAATCTTGGGTTTCTTTCTCGTACTTCCTTGTTTTCCTGGGCCAAGTTCATGTTTTCCTAATAGTTGCTGCAGGAGATGAAGCAGGAGAACTAATTATCAATTTCTGTATCCAATGATTTCTTAACTAATACTTCTTCACACAACTAAACAATGCCTATATATGTACATCATCAAATGGAGTACATAAGATTAAATGACTATACTATTGTTAAAAGGAGGTATAGCAACTCAGTTATAGCATTAAAATTATGGTCAGGTGCTAACTGTGGACCACAAGCTACCTATGTGCAAGTGCTAAACTAAGGAAGAAGAACAAAACCAACAAGGCTAAAACATATGAAGAACGATTGCAGGAATTGGGTATGTTTAGTCTAGTGAAAAGAAGGACTACGGGTGACATGATAGCAGTGTTCCAATATTTGAGGGGCTGCCACAAAGAAGAGAGGGTCAATCTATTCTTCAAAGCACCTGAAGGGAGGACAAGTAGCAATGGATGGAAATTAATCAAGGAGAGAACCAACTTAGAACTAAGGAGAATCTTTCTAACAATGAGAACAATTAACCAGTGGAATGGTTTGCCTTCAGAAGTTGTGGGAGCTCTCTCCATGGAGGTTTTTAAGAAGACAGCCATTTATCTGAAATGGTATAGGATCTCCTGCTTGAATGGAGGGTTGGACTGGAGGATATCCAGTGTCCCTTCCAACACTACTTTATTATTCTTTTTGTATAATCACATTTTAATACTGTGAAAAAGAAGAGTAGAATGAATAGATGGACTTAGTTACAACGGCAATGTGTGCATTTTTTAAATGCCTGTAGGACCAAATTGTGACAGAGAAAACTATGGGGTCACTAGAAACTGACCCTGACTTGATGGCATTTAATCAATCAGTTTTCTTCAAGGCCTTCTCTTACTTCTCTATAAAGTCTCATATAAACATGGTTTGGAATAAATGTTGAGCAAATAAAAAGAATTCAGCTGTGATGTAATCAAAAGTTGCATAATGCAACATCTTGTTTCTACAAAGGCCCACCAGAATTTGATAGAAGCTTGAAGGCTGAAGCAGTCTCTTAATTGTATTCCCTAGAAATTTGTAACAAATTTCTTGTTGTTTCTGTTATGCAGCTGTATTACATAGACATAATTAATACCTACTTGTAATTGCTTACCTTTTTTTCCATGAATTTGTTTCTGATCTTTTAAAATTGTCTAATATTATAATCATCACTGCATTCTGTGACAAGTTGAACTGCAGTTTAACTCTGTATGAAGAACTACATTTTATTTTATTTGCTTTGAATATGGGACAGTGGTGAAATCCAAACTTTTTTACTACTGGTTCTGTGGGCGTGGCTAGTGGGCATGGTGTAGCTTGATGGGCATAGCTTGTGGGCAGGGCAGGGGAAGGATACTGCAAAATCTCCATTCCCTTCCCACTCCAGGGGAAGGATACTGCAAAATCCCCATTCCCCACCCCCACTCTGGGGCCAGCCAGAGGTGGCATTTGCCAGTTCTCCAAACTACTCAAAATTTCCGCCACCGGTTCTCCAAACTACTCAAAATTTCCACTACCAGTTCTTCGGAACCTGTCAGAACCTGCTGGATTTCACCCCTGATATGGGGGTTCTCAAATTAACAGTGAACATTTATTAAATTAGTAAAAAAAATCTGGGATTGTATCAGATTTTATGTATATGAATTTACATATCAATTCTGCCACGTTGATGCAATTTATTTTTCCACTTAAAGGTATAATATCTGTGTACCTCAAGAAGGATAGCATGGGAAATCTGAATCTTGTAGCCTGCCCACACACAGATAATCACACTTCCTTGGATAACACCTCAAAGGAGTGTTCAATGACAATATGGCAGAAACTCAACCAAGCAAAAACCAGCAAGAATGATCACACATTTGTCAAATGGAATCATAGCTCATTCACAAATGTCATTGAAAGCAGGTAAGCAATACAAAAAGCCAGAAATGCAATACAAAAGAAGAAAGCTTAATTTTCTGGTTTCCATCCAGTGATTTACTAACATGAATCCCACATTTATATATGGGCCTTGCCCCACAAATGAGTTCTAGGATTATCCAATTATTTTGACTTGCCAGAAAACTGTACTAGCATGAATATTTTTTAAATGAATTGTTAGATTTATATTGTACCTATTCCTCCATTGCCAATCACAATCTTGCTTGTATTGCCTCTATTTCCAGCCCAGATACTGTACTTGATTTCCATCTAAGATAATAGCTGACAAAGTCAAACAGATTTTATACACCTTGAGGCTGCCCTTGGACAGAATAAGCTGCTTAACTTCACCAATATAGTAATTGAGGAAGATGATCTATCTAATCTTCTTTTATTGGCAGGAAGGGAGGGAAGAGGCACGTTAAGCTCATGAACGTTTTTCTTTTAGATAAAAATGGACTAAGTCTGAATTATTTGCACAATTTGGGGGATTTATTCTCAGTTAAAGTGTTGGTTCGTTGTGCTGTTCTTTAAACTATAAAATAAAGTTTCCCTATATTCGTTAATCAGAAAACTGCTTGCTGGTCATGACTAACTGATAACTGTGTGCATTGCCTATATGTAAATAGTGCTACAATTATTAACACTGGGTAGGTTACAATCCAGAGGATGGTAGAGGACATGAAGACCTGGAGGAATGTTGTCCAATGGGGTCGCGATGGGTCGGGCACGACTTTGCAACTAACAACAACAACAAGGTTACAATCCTTAGCATTCTGTCTCACAATGAAGATTGCAGTTTAGTGCCCACATTCTTAAGAAGAAGTCAGACTGAACTCAGTAAGGTTTACTTCTAAACAATGTACCAAATGGCTCTGTCAGGCTGCAGTTTGAATTGTGGACTTGCAGAATCCTACTTCTGACTACATGGGTTTAATACTATGTCTAAAATCTGGCTGATATTACAAGGATATAGAAATATGTATATATGCTGAGATGTATAGTGGTAAACTTTTCCTTCCAGACAATAAGATAATCAGATTCCTTTGTGTCTAGCTGCCATGGGAACACACGACTGCAGACAGATCTTCAGTACCACCAAGATGTATCATCACTTATGGAGGATGCCAATGGGAACCAAGAGGCAAATAACAGCTTTAATCCTTGGGGATTGCACTGTCACAAGCAGCATCTAAATCGCATGTCTTCCAAGTATAAGGAAAATAAACCTCACCGTATCTTTTTTCCTGAATTAGCTGAACATTACAGTACACATGTATAATTGATAATTTGTACTTTTTAAAGGCTGCTAGTGCTGTTATAAGTATAAACATAAAAGGGACAGTTTATCAAAAGTTTAAGTGCAATATGTTAATGACAAAAACAACATTTTAAGTCTAAATTACACATTGGGTATGTTGGTAAACATGTATTTCAGTGGGACCAAGATTGCAGCAATGTACACACTAAACCTGATGAAACTTACTCTCAAATATTTTGATCTGGATTTGTCTATAATAGCAAAAATGCAGAATTTAATTTATTTAGCACTTAACAATTACCACAAAGGCAGCCATGTATCTCCAGTATAGTAATAATTAACAGTGTTAATCTTGTTTATGCATCCTATTTCTAGATATTCTTATAACAAAAGTGTTACCATGCCTATTTAGTAAACATTTGCAGGAAACCAAATTTGCATCTCATATATTTTTTTAGTTTCACTGTTTAAATTTGATGTGTAACAACTCAGAATTTTGGATTCTTATAATCCAGATTATAAAAATATTTAAAATATTGCATTTCCACTAGAATATTATACAGAGACACAACAAAATTTTGAATTTGTGCTGAAATTATATCTTTTCAGATATAATTTTTTAAAAAAGACTACGCACTTAGAAATTGTATTCAAGGAACCATGATACCCACATCCTAATAGTATCTGAAAGCCCAGCCTTGTAATTAAAACTTCAATGTATGTACATTGATTGCTGGCCTCTCTAAGAAAAAATATTCTATTGACCTTTACCAAGGATAGAAAATGATGGACAGATAGCTCTGAGACACATTTCTCATGATAAATGAGCTGAAATGGAAACAAGAAGCTAAGCATAGAAACTAATGGAAAACTGCAAAGTAAACCTAAGTAAAATACTGATTTCCTTAACTAGTACATCCAGAATTTCTTTTACTAGAAAATGTTGTATCCAAATATAAATACCCATGCGTTTTGGACTTAAAAATGGGAACCAGGCAGCATGGTGATGATGCATCAGAGGAGAAGAAAGCACGCCAAATAAAGAAATGTGAACAGAGTACATCAGCCTCCCTTGGAGTCCGTATTTGTGGCATGCAGGTGAGCAGAAATCTGTTTTGAAAATTACATGTGTTACCATGAAATAGTACCATGAATTTAGTGATTGTAAATAAACAGGGGGTGGGGGGGAATAAATTAAATTCCAATATGATTTTCCATCCAAGCATCTCTGTGTTAGCCTAGGTGCTTAGAAAGACATAGTATATCTGAAATGCTTGTTGATCGGTGATAATTACAGTTTTCCAAAAAATAATTTGCAAAAGTTATGTATACACTTCTGAAATCTTTTGGGGAAAAGATTGGTCATGTTGAAAATCACTGAAAACCCCACCACAGTGCAGCTAATACTAAACTAAATAGCAATCACAACAAAATGTCATCCCTTATCTAAGATAAGCAAGTGTATAGAGACACAAATATGCAATGACTATGGTCCACTATTCGGATGAGGAATGCCCATTTATTTAAATGTATCTGAATTACCCTTACACTCTGAAGAAAGCTAAACATCAGCTTCTTTACCACTAAAAATAAGGATAATTCACATAAAGCAAATGTATTAGAGCTGCAGGTTTTATTTTAGGGTTTGATCCTCCTACTAACTACTTTAATATAGAGAGACACTTTAGCAGATGATCTAAGTCAAAGACAATCATCTACTAAATAAATTCTTCTTTAGAACACAAAGCTGTCCTGTGGCTTTGAATAATTGCAGCTGTGTAATCATCAAAGCAGTCATTTCTGTCAGTGTGGCAACTGAAAGTAAATTTCAGAACAGGATTGCCTGAGTATTTTGCCATCAAGCACTATTAAATTAAATCCTTTGACATATACATTTTTAAAAAGATGATATAGTAGCTCTGAATGTTGCTGGGTAACATGGAAACCAGTAACTAGCTCAGCCCAAGTACGTCATTGGTTTACTGAAAGAACGCACTAAAGAGACTTTGAAAAGAAAGATACTATACAAATATAATAAATAATGTTAAAATGAATGCAAAACCTTGATCCCAGCTTGTACTTTCTCAACATTACAGTTCTCTGTATGCAGGACTTTGTAGTTCTGCCTTGCGGTGATAAAGATAAATATAGTAAGCTTCTAACGCACATATTCAAAATGTACTATTGAGGCTTTCAGAAGGAGTATATAAAATCACTTAACGAATTACAATCTGCAAAACAGATGGCTAATATAGATTGTTATTGTTTTTAATTCAAGGTTTACCAGGCAGATACCATCCAATATATTTGTAAGGATAAGTACTATGGACGAAAACTTTCACCAGATGGCTTCAAGCAAGCCCTTTGCCAGTTCCTTCACAATGGGAATCATTTTAGAACAGACCTTGTGGAACCAATTTTGTTTCAGCTGAATACTCTGCTATCTGTCATCAAAAATCAAAATTCTTACCGGTTCTTCTCTAGCTCACTTCTCATAAACTATGAGGGACTGGAGAAAACAGTGTCTTCAGAAAATGACCCTCAGGGACACTATCAAAACATAGTCTGCTCTGCTTCACATGGAAATAGCCATCCTAAAGTTGATGTTCGCATGATAGACTTTGCTCACACAACTTACAAAGACTCGGGATATGAGGGACCAGATCATGGTTATATTTTGGGTCTAGAAAACTTAATTAAAATTTTCCAGAGTATATCCATGGGAGAATGACAGTTACGGAATTAAAGACTTGTGATTTGAAATAGCAGAACCAGCACATTGGGCTATAACAGTAGGAAGCCGTCCAGCTACTACAGCAGTAAAAAGGGCAGTTTGTTAAGGAAAGCTCAAATGAAACTATATGCCACTATGGATTGAGCAGAAGTCCTCATAATTGTGAACCATTGGACGATTTTATTTTCTAATTTTACTGTTGCCTATTCATATCATTTGTGAAAAAGAATACTTGAAAATAACGTAAAGAATTAAGGACTTTTTTTAATGAAGAGCCATTCAGATTTGCAGGGCGAGCAAGGACCAAGCAATTATGAAACTCATGAAAAGAGCTATGAAGATAGGCTGGCAGGTCCTTAAAACAATTCATCTTAATTCATCCAATTTGATGAGTTAAGGACAATCGGTTTTGAACAAACTTAGCTACTAAACAGCAGTACTTTAAAAACTTTAACTCCTTATTCCTTTGTATTCCATGCTAGTGTCTATGCCAGTGATAGCGAACCTTTTTGGCACCAAGTGCTGAAAAGGTTGCACAAAAATGTCAGCGTGCGCACACTCATCAGGGCCGTTTTCGGCACTGCCACGCACGAGAAGGGATCGCGCTCTGGAAAAGCCGAACTTCCGGGTTCTGGCGTGCATGCACTCCCAACAATCAGCTGGCCAGAGTGCATGTGTTCACCGGTTTTCGGCACCCAAAGGATAGCTGATCATTGCGCATGCATGCGTGCCAGAAACCCAGAAAATAAACAGGCAAGTCTGCGCATGCCGGGCAACATGGCTTTGCGTGCCACTTTGGGCACGCATGCCATAGGTTTGTCATCATGGGTCTATGTCAAAGTATTTTCCAAAGAATAAGTACAATCAGAGCCACAATCAAAAGCAGAGGGTATGAGATATTCTCAGAGAAATAATGTAAGATATTGATGGAAGAAGAGACTTGTTACAGAGAGGGCACAAAATCTGGAAAGAGCAGTTATGGAAGGATTCATACCTTGATACTTCAGGTCAGAGTTACACTGCAGAGGAGTTAAGACAATCTTGAAACATGGGTGTACCAATACCATTATGGGCCCAATAATCCTCTAGACATTTTATATTCAACTCTTTTTTTTTTTTTTAATTTGATTTATATGCCGCCCTTCTCCGAAGACTCAGGGCGGCTTACAATGTGCTCAGCAATAGCCTTCATCCTTTTGTATATTTATACAAAGTCAGTTTATTGCCCCACAAACTGGGTCCTCATTTCACCTACCTTAGAAAGGATGGAAGGCTGAGTCAACCTTGAGCCTGGCGGGATTCGAACCCTGCAGTAATTGCAGGCAGCTGGTCTTAATAACCAGCTTAATAACAGGGTGCCTTAAACCCCTGTACTACCAAGGCTCTTTCTATGCATGTATGTATTTTTCTTGCATGTGGGATTACAACAAACTTCACAAAATGTTTACAGGAATATGGAGTATATTACTGGTAAATAAAGAACACTGCTCTCATGTCATATGGAAAATCCACTGAGTGTTGTAAATACAAAATATAGATTTAGAAATATGCAGGCAAGACGGAATGTGAAACTGTAAATAAAGTGTATGGGCCTTACAACATATTGACTGTGTCTATATTTCCTTATGCTATTTCTCACAGATCTGTCAATATTTACATAATTGCTGTAAAATCATGTTTTCCTAGTTTAAATACCAGACCTCCGGGGAAATCTTTTTACTATCTAGATGTTTCTTTAATGTGGCCTGTGAGCAACCACAAATTGTGTGACAGGCAGATTAAATCATTAGGCCAAGTACATATTCCACTTAGCTTGCTGCCCAGCTTCAGGAAATTGCTAGAAATTATTCACAACGTTGAATACTGTTAATATGAAACGGACATCGCAAAATCCAAAGCAATTCCACATAGACAGTCATAGGCTCTGGGTGCAAAAGGATTTGTCTTCATTTGAGCTGCTTGTCAAACTCAAACTCTTGTTGTGTCAAATGTTTATAAAATAATAATTTGACATTAAGAAAGCAATTTATGCATATGTTCATTTTCTGCAACAATCTAGATTATAACTGTTATAACTACTAATGCAGACTGTAAGATATTGAGCTAGTTCTTCTAAATTAAGCATATTGATATATATTTGATGGAACATCTTTCAACATTTAAGTGAATGTATAAATAAAAGTTGCAGTTGTATCCTAGTTCCAGGGAGGATGCCATATAAAGTTCAGTGGGATTTATTACAGCACAGAATTGTAGATAACTGTGCTATAAAACATCAAGGCTGTAAAAGCTTAACTTTGCAGGAAGTTCCTCTAAGCAATTTTAGGGAAATGGCATTAAACTCCTCTTTTTGTCTGAGTAAATATGCATAGAATGGAACAACCCAGTTACATCCTAAATTTCCTGGGTCAATTCAATGAGTATTATAACCAGATAAATGCTTAAATTTTGTTGTATAAGCATTGAATAAAAATATTGCAGTTCTAAAATTACATCCAGCTAACCTTTCCTTCCTCTTAAATTGGGTCTTTCAGAGTTACTGGTCAAGTCTGAGCACTGGGGAATTATACTAGAGAAAATAGTGCCCTGAAATTATGATGTGCCCTATGAAAAAGCATCTGCCTAACTATATATCAAGCATCTGCCAGCGATGCCACCACAAACAGAATGACATAAATGGTGTTACGCATCTGCCTCCTGCTCTCAGCAATGAGAAGTTTCAGGGGTGCCCATACCTATGAAGGATTCTGTTCCTTTGTAAATGCATCACTGGGAGCAAGCGGAGATGGTACTAACACAAATGGTACGAAGATGGAATTAACATTCCCACAAATTCTGGGTTTCCTTTGGATTTCTCAATTCTCCAATTTTACTCATTTTTAGCACTGATCCACATACATCTCTATCCTTTCCCCAGCTTAGCCCATTCTGCCCCACTAAAGATGAGACATCTGTTGAAGCAATTTGGCAGCAGAACAATACTTCTTTTTATTTTTTACTCTCCAGAAAATAAATTTGCACATATTTTAAGAAGAAAGGTAGCCCTCCATTCATCAACTTGGAGAGGAGCTGATGTAGTTCCCATCTTCAAAAAAAGGGGAAAAAATAGATCCAGGAAACTACAGACCTATCAGCCTGACCTCAATACCAGGGAAGATTCTGGAAAAGATAATCGAGCAACAAATCAGCGAACACCTAGAAGCAAACAAAGTAATAACCAAAAGCCAACTTGGGTTTGTCAAAAATAGATCATGCCAGACTAATCTTATTGCATTCTTTGACAAAGTGACAAAATTAGTGGACCAGAGGAATGCTGTCAATATAATTTACTTAGACTCCAGTAAAGCATTTGATAAAGTAGACCACAACCTACTACTGGATAAAATAGAAAAATGTGGGTTAGACAGCATCACCACCAGATGGATTCATAACTGGCTGACCGTATAATCCTCAATGGAACTGCATCTACATTGAGGGAAGTATACAGTGGGGTACACCAAGGCTCTGTTTTAGGCCCAGTACTCTTCAACATCTTCATCAATGATTTGGATGAGGGGATAGATGTGGAACTCATCAAATTTGCAGACGACACCAAGCTAGCAGGAATAGCCAACATTCCAGAAGATAGGCTTAAGATACAGAAGGATCTTGACAAGACTTGAACATTGGGCGCTATCTAACAAAATGAAATTCAATGGTGAAAAAAAGTAAGATTCTACATTTAGGGAAGAAAAACAAAATGCACAGGTACAGTATATGTGGTACCTCGCTCAATAGTAGTAACTGTGAGAGGGATCTTGGGAGTCCCAGTGGACAACCATTTAATATGAGCCAGCAGTGTGCAGCAGCTGCCAAAAAAGCCAACACAGTTCTAGGATAAACAGAGGGATAAAATCAAGATTACGTGAAGTGTTAATACAACTTTATAATGCCTTGGTAAGGCTACATTTGGAATACTGCATCTAGTTTTGGTCACCACGATATAACAATGATGTGGAGACTCTAGAAAGAGTGCAGAGAAGAGCAATAAAGATGATTAGAGGACTGGAGGCTAAAACATGAAGAACGGCTGCAGGAACCGGGTATGTCTAGTTTAATGAAAAGAAGGACTAAGGGTGACATGATAGCAGTGTTCTAAAATGTCAGGGGCTGCCACAAAGAAGAGGGAGTCAAGCTATTCTCCAAAGCATCTGAAGGTAGGACAAGAAGCAATGGGTGGAAACTAATCAAGGAGAGAAGCAACTTAGAACTGAGGAGAAATTTCCTGACAGTTAGAACAATTAATCAATGGAACAACTTGCCTCCAGAAGTTATGAATGCTCCAACACTGGAAGTTTTTAAAAAAATATTGGATAACCTTTTGTCTGAAGGTAGGGTTTCCTGCCTAAGCAGGGATTGGACTAGAAGACCTCCAAGGGCCCTTCCAACACTGTTATTCTGTTTTCTAGTTGTGCTGTTCAGCGATGCTATTCCTGCCTGCATCTTATATCATGTATTGGACTGTCTCTGACATCTGTACCTTGGTACTGTCTAGTGTGGTAGACCCAGTGGTGAGATTCAGTCAGTTCGCACCACTTTGGGAGAACCAGTTGTTAACTTTCTGAGCAGTTTGGCAAACTAGTTGTTGGAAGAAATCATTAGGGCAGATGTTGTTGTTAAATTAGTTGATTCCCACCACTGGGTAGACCCCTGCTTTTGTGGAACTGGTGCTTAGTGCCTATTCTTGTGCTGCTACGATCAGTGCTTCAGTGCTGTGTTTTAGTCCAGTTCTTTTTAGCCACAAGTAGAATTCCCCAATATCTGCCACTCAACTTTCTCCTACGGGAGAAAGGCAGTATAGAAATATAATAAATAAATAAATAAATAAATAAAATAAACTATCTGTCAATGGTACATCCTGTGCAGGGTCTTGTCTTGCCATGGCACTTTCTCTGCTTAGTCTTCCTCCTTTGTCTTCTGCTGTCTCAGGTATTCTCTCAACAGCTCATCTTTGATTACCATATTACGGGTGTGCTCCTGGATGTTCTGGGTTTCACCCATGATAGTGGCTTTGACCCTCACTACACCCTGCTTGCCCTCTTTCCAGATGTGCACAGTCTCTGGGTGTTGGGACTTGGGGTATATTTTGAGGAGCTTCAAGTTTTCACATTGGCAGAGCATACATATTGATGGCATGGATCTTGTTCTTCCTATTGAGCTTGCTCTTCAGGGCCTATCTTAACTTTTGGTGATACTTGGATGTTTCCATCTCTTGATTGTGGTTCCCATATGACTGTAGAATACCAAGGTATTTGTAGTTGGCCTATATGTCTGCTACGTGGCTTGCTGGTAATTCCACCTCATCAGTCTTCCCTCTTTTGACTACCATCCAATCGCATTTCTCCAGTGAATGACATCACAGTGTCCTCACTGTAGATCTGTGTCAGATGAATCAGCGAGTTAATGTCTCCTTAACTGTTCTTGAGGAATATAGATCTCATGTTTTCAAGGCCTCCAAAGATTATTTGGGATGGTTTTTTTTTCCTCAAAGGCTAGGATAGTTTTCATTTTAATATTTTTTCCTGTTCTTAAAAAATAAAAATAGGGGAAACTTTGAAGAACTGAGTTTGTTAAGATTAATGTCATGTGTTGTGAAGTATTTGGTGATTATAGAAAGCCAGGGGCTGCAACTGCTTTTTATTATGCTTACTGAGAGTGAGTGTTCAGTGAGATGCACAGATGGGAAATGATGTTTATTGCAAGGGTATCTTTTTTTAAAAAAAAAAAATTAAGCCCCTAACTTAATTACAAAACCCTGACCTACCAAACACTTGATTACATTGCCAAAGATACATTATTGATTCGAGCCACCAGCACACTAGTTTTGCTGATACAATAATGCTCTCAGCAAAAGTGCTCATTGGAGGCAGAAGTGATGAAATGTACATGGAATAGAAGAGAACTTCTGCCCCTGACATTCTGGGACAAGGCTAAAGTGAATTATTATTATTATTTATTAAATTTTTATACCACCCTTCTCCCGAAAGACGATTTATTTATCTACCACATTTTGGAACTGCTCCTCTCCCTCACAGAGGGGCTCTGGTCAATGTACAATAAAATATTAAAACAGAAAAATTGTATATAAAAGTTAAAATTTAAAAACAGGCTAGGATGATTAAAAACAATGTTATAGATTAATTAAAAGGAAAGGAGGGGGGGCTTTCAGAGTCCTAACCAGCCCCATGGCTGCATGCCATATCATCACACAAGGGCAAGAGAGCATAGCTTGCGCTGTGACAATAGGGCACAGGTGTCACCATTCTGGTTTTATTGTCATTTGCTCAGGACACTTGTCTCTCAGCCTGTATTTGCAATGCCGTTTGCATTGGCAAATCTATTCTTCAAATGCTTAATATAGGGAGTCCTCGACTTAGAACAGTTCACTTAGTGACCACTCAAAATTACAACAGCACTGAAAAAGTGACTTATAACCGTTTTTCACACTTACAACCGTTGCAGCATCCCCATGGTCACGTGATCAAAATTCAGACTCTTTGCCAACTGACTCCTACTTATGATGGTCAGTGTCCTGAGATCACGTGGTCAAGTTTTGCGACCTTCTGACAAGCAAAGTTAATGGGGAAGCCAGATTCACTAAACCAGGGGTGGGCAACTGTGGCCCTTTTACAACCTGTGGACTTCAACTCCCAGAATTCCTGAGCCAGCTAGCTCAGGAATTCTGGGAGTTGAAGTCCACAGGTTGTAAAAGGGCCTCAGTTGCCCACCCCTGCACTAGACAAATGTGTTACTAACTTAAATGACTGCAATGATTCACTTAACTGTGGCAAAAAGGTCATAAAATGGGGCAAAACTCACTTAACAACAGAAATTTTGGGTTCAATTGTGGTCGTAAATCGAGGACTACCTGTAACAAGTCCCGGGTTACAGCAGTGTTTCTGAACTTCCAAGATGGCTGGGGGAATTCTGGGAGTTGAAGTCCGCATAGCTTAAAAGTCGCAGAAGTTGAGAAACACTGCTCAAAGCCATTGGCCCAATACAATCAATGCAATCCCTAGTGAATGTCTGCCTTCATCTCTTAATGTCTCACTTTCTCCCGTAACTCTACAACTGCGATCCCGGTGATTAAAACTACATATCCCTCAGTATCGGCCAGCTCCCTTTGCGCAGGCGCAATCTTCTGTTCTCACGTAATAGACCTCGCCCGCTAGCTTTGTGGCCCAAAACTGAGTGACGTAGTCAGCCCGGGCTAGGCCATGTGAGCCGGCCTCCAATAGAGCCGGGTAAACGTCCGCCAAGATGGCGTCGGCGCGGTACCGGCGCTTCTTGAAGCTCTGCGAGGAGTGGCCCGTGGAGGAGACCAAGCGCGGGCGTGATTTGGGAGTCGTGGTGCGGCAGAAAGTGATGCAGGCTTTCCGTGAGGGAGAGAATACTCAGGTGGGACCCTGACATCAGGGGGCTTGCGCTGTAAGGGGCTGAGCTAGGCGATTGGCCGCGCCAAGGTCGTTTACTTTGCCGCTATAAAGCCTCTTCGTCCCGGGCCAGAGCGAGGAAGGGCTGTGCTGTGGCGCTCTTAAATGGCCGTGCGGCAGGATAGGAGGCTGTGAAAAGTTCAGAACTTGCTCCTTTTTCCCGCCGGCCGCCTTACCGGTTTATGAATGGGGGAATCAAGCGATTCAGAGTCAGGCAGGCACGGGTGGCTCGAAGGGAAAGCCTCTGCGTGACTTTTCAGTCCTGGGATCTGGGAGGACCTGTGGATCTCCAGTTTGCACCGTGCTTCAGGACTCCTTTTTTTTTTTTAGACTTCATGGAAGCATTTTCTCATGAGCAGCAATAGCACTTAGACTTACAGACCGCTTCACAATGCTTTACGCCCCTCTCTAAGGGGTTTACAGAGTCAGCATATTGTTCCCAACAATCTGGATGGAAGAGGGTTCCCCCCCACCCCCATCTTTGGTACTGTAATAAAGCCAAAACACATGTAAATGTTGAGAAATGTTCTCCTTGTCCAGAGGCAGGGAGATTGTATCCATTGCCCTGAGAACTGCTAGCATCTCGGTAGGATGGAGAGGTGGCATCTTGGCATCATGGTTTTGCAAAACCCATGTATCACTCTGTGTCACATTTTAGAGCCAAAATAGGTGATGAAAATGAAGGGACCTGGATCCAGCGCTTGTGAGATGGTAGATGTTGGTATTATCTACCGTGGACATAAGTTATGCTGGATCTCCATATCCCAGTGATTTTTTATTTTATTTTTTTGGTTTTAGGTTCATTATGTGGACATATTTTAGGTCTCTTTACTCAATCACATATGTACTCTTTCTATGGATTACAGTATATACTTTGATTTATAGAAGATTGATAAAACACACAAGATTCATGTTAAATCTATTTTAGGAAGTTTTTTCATTTGACAACAGAATAGGTATGGCAGTTATAATTGAAACATCATCTAAACATTAAGAACATACAATCTGTTTTTAATTAATATGTAATTTTTAAATTCCTTTTTTACTACCATCTATTCTTGCAGATTGCCGACCCAGTGACTTGCGATGAAATTTTTGAAAGTTTAGCCAAAATTCATACTAACTATTATAGAAATAAGGTGAGTTCTGCCATTGTGGTAAATATGATTATGTAGTGACTGCTCTCTTTATAATTTTCTAATAGGCATACTGTTTAGATCTGTTCATTATCTTAGTTCAGGAAAAAGACAGTCCCATTCTTCTAAAATTTTGTATAATCTTCAAAAATAAGTCTGAAACATGTGCATTTATATACCTGAATATGCACAAAGTCTGTTAATTACCATAACAATACTCTAGTACCTAGCAGATGTATTTCATTTCTTGCCATTTATTTCATTACCTTGTCAAAAGCACTTTTCTCTATCAGAGAAGGGGAGGTATATATTTATATGTCTGGTTTTTTTTTTCTTTTTGGAATAGTATCCACGTCTGAGAGATACAAACTTCTCTGGAGTGCCAGTGGAGGAATGCAAGTTAGTTCTTGCAACAGGTATTTAAACTGCAGTAACTGCTTGGAGTCTATTTACGGGGACAACAACCTTTATTGGCATAAACCTAGTGTCTTTTGTACACTAGATTTATGTACAGTTTTTGTACAGTTTTTTTCTTTCTTCTTCTGGGCTCTCTTACACATAAGAATTTGCTGCCACTAACTTTGTCTTGTCAACAGCTTTGCTATGAATTCAAATTTATTCTAAAAACACTTGTAAAGGACTGGTTCAGTGCCCCTCATTGAGATTTGTATTTTAGTGGCTGTAAATTGCATGTTGGGTTAAAGTGATACACAATAATCCATTTTTAATTCAAAGAAGCTGTGAACAATTTAAAAACAAAAGCATGAATCATTCCACATAAGAATGTAAACTTCTTGGCTACTTTAGGTTTAATGGAGCAAGCCATTTCCCAAAGCCACAACTGCCATTTTCATATTTCTTCCATTTAAAGTCACATAACTCTTGGAATTCAGTGGATATGATATATCATTCCACTCTTTCAATATTTCACTGCTGTATTTGAGAAGTCCAAAGAAATGGATGTACAGGTAGTCCTCAGCTTACAACCACAATTGGGACCAGAATTTCCATGGTTAAACAAAGGGGTTAAGTGAATCATGCCTTATTTCACTATCTTTTTGCCATGATTGCTAACCAAATCGCTGTAGTGAATGACCCAGTTGTAAAGCAAATCCACCTTCCCCTATTGACTTTGTCAGAAACTGGCTGGGAAGATCGCAAAATGGAACTCACATGACCCCAGGATGCTGCAACTGTCATAAATACATGGCAGTTGCCAAGCACCTGAATTTTGATTAACGGTTATAGTGCAAGGACTGATAGTAAATCACTTTTATCAGGGCTGTTATACCTTCAAATAGTCCTTGAACGGTTGTAAGTCAAGGACTACCTTTATGCGGTGCTGAGGATCAGCCAAAAACTAACGTGTAATATAAGAATTGTAACAGGAATTCCATATCCTTTGTCCACTTACTTCTTTGGATCAAAAAGATGTGAGGAATAGATCTAAATATATAATGCCTCCTCTATATAGGGTATACTATATAGAAGCTAAGGCTAAAAGCTATTATCATTTAATAATTTTCTATTGTAATTATTTAATTTTTGTATATGTTTATATACTCAACATAATGCATTTAAAATGGAGTGGCATGGAGCTAAATTGCAGGTTTTTGTTGAATACATATAGAAAATGTTACTTTTTCCTGGCTCTAGAATTGCTGTATTGAATAAAGAAAACATATTGCCTGAGGCAACAAAGCAGAAATTTAGACGGAAACTAATACTTTGCATTTTAGGGTTTTGAAGAGAATTATTGCTTGTGATTGTGAATATTCAGCTGTATAGATTGCAAAGGCATGTGGATTAGGGAGGTAAAATCTCTTGTGACTTCCAGTTGCATACTGGAAGAAGTATATTAGTCACCTATATTTTGTAAAGCACTCTTAAAATAGTAGGCAAAATATAAAACTTATTTTTTAGAAAATATTCTGTCTTAATTTATTCAACTACTACTATTGCAGAACAACTGAAGCAACTGGAAGAAGGAAAGCTTGGAAAATTGAAAAGGTTACGTGAAAAATTCTCTGCCAAGCATCACAAAGAAGATTCCAAATAATAACTCAGTCATTAACTGGTTTTGTAAAGCACTGTTTTTGCCAGTACAGCTAAACCTCCTTGTTACCAGCAAAGAACAATGGAAAGCTATTCTGGAATGGGATAAACTAGCTCCATTTGACTACATGGTTTATGAAGACTTAGGAAGTCCATCTGAAGAACTGGAAATGATATAGTTATATGCTATGGGTTTTTACCTATCTGCACTAGTGAATGTCATCTTGCAGCTGATGTGTTGGACCCTAACAGAACATGTAGTTCATGTCAAAAAAAATATCTAACATTGGGATTCTGTGAAAGATGTCTGGCTTCTTACTGTTAATTAGCTTGTGTGTTGTTTACTGGAAAGGCAGCACTTTTTAAGGTTGGGGGGGGAAAGAAGCTTATATGTTGTGCAGAATTGAATATTGAGGACAAATTTTTATTCTGCGACTGCTGCTTGTGAAATCGATGAGATAGCAGAGTAGTTCCAAATACATGGGCAGCTCCCAAATGTTTTTTTTTTGCTGCAGTGTAGATAAAGTCCATTCTCAGTGGCCAGGAAATAACAGCAAAGACCAATGGGACATGTTAGCATCCTAAGAAAATAGCATGCTTGCTAAAATATGTATAAGCACGTACACAGATCTTGTGGTTCACAAGTCACTGTTGCTATGGTTCCATAGAACCAGGAAGAGAGGCTTCCATAGAGGGAAAGCATTTATCAGGGATCCTCAGACTGCAGCCCACCAGGCCTTGAGCCGTTTGGAACCGGGCTGTGGAAGAGGTGGGCACAAGCCCATCACTACTTGCACGAGCAGTGGGAAAGTGTGCGTGCTTGCCCATCGCTTGAGCAAATGCAGCTGCACGCACATGTGCTTGCCCACTGCTCATACAGAACCCTTCCCAGCCCACCCCCACCCAGTCCACAAAGCCAGAAAGGTTGGGAAACTCCAACTTTGGCCTTGGGTGACTAACAGTTATTTAGAAAATTAATCAAGATTTGTCATTTTATGAAGTTACCAACATTATCAAGAAGACTGTTGATTCATCTGCTTTCCATTTATTATACTGATTTTGTGTTTTAAATTTCAGAAGATTCACATACTAACATTTTAAACTGTGTTTGAGAAACAAACCAGATGAAGATAAATTACAAAGCTGGATTTATGATTAGTAAAAACCTTTCTTGCTAAATCTGCACAGCAGTCTGTATATTTGAAGAACACTTTGCTTTGGTCCAAATGTGAATGAAACCGACTCACTCCTTGTTTCTAGCCTTCCCCCATAGACTAGTGCTAATGGAACAAGTGGCCACACTTAATACAGACAACTGTTTTCTGTCTTTTGCTTACATTTGACAGCAGCTCGCAGAAGTAGATTTTACAGGGGGCTTTTTCTTATACAAATGTTCTAAATTCATAGGAGCAAATTATTCTGTCAAGGAACTTCTAAGTTCATATTTCAGAACTTCTATACTTGTAGCCTTACTCTTTTTTTTTCCTCCCACTTCTTCTGCGGCTCCATTCCGTCACTGATGTAGACTAATTATAACTGATATTTCTGACACCCATGACAGTTAAAACATTAAAACACTACGACAAACTCATAGTGCTTGGAAGCAGGATGAATTCTAAAAATATTTTATACTATTCTATTGAGTGAACAAGGCACAAACTGCACATTCGTACTGCAGCATGAACGTGCAATATTTCATTAATGTCCAGTCTTGTCAATTGAAGGGGAAAAAAGCTATTTCATGAATTATATAATTGCTTGAACTATTAACTTAATAGAATATCTTCTTGCAATTTCTCCTTGGTTGTGATGTGATTCTAGACACAAAATGTTGGTATCTTCAAAAGGTTTAACATGAAACATTTGCAAAGAAATCCTTATATGGTGACTTTCCATATATCTTTGAATAAGTTAAAAAGGTAGCAGGCTACTACTCGCTGACAACTGTCAATTCTATTTGCACCTGGCTATGTAGCCATCCAAATGTAGTGCATGAAGGAAAAAAAGAAGGAATAGTTATAATACAGTTCAAAGGTATGGCAAACTGAATGCATATGAAGAAACAATTAGTCATGGCTTCAGTTTCTTGCTGAATTGAATGCCTTCAATCAGTCCTGCTAAAGATTAAAGGAAGTGCTGAGGTTTTACGAACTGTCACAGCCTGGACCAATGTTCCTTGTCGATAAAAACTGCAAGGAACTTAGTACCAATACCTCTTCAGGAAGTGCATACATATCTATATACTACAGTTTCTGTTTGAAGACTTGGATTCCACTGTCTCAGTGATTTATTGTGTTTTGGGCATCCACAAAACCCATTCGTTGCCTCCGCTTTCTTTGCTCTGTCATCTGAAATTTGCAGTAAAAAAAGGAACATTAAAACATGGTTCTTAATTTTTCTAATTAAGGATTCACAATATCTATAGGTCTTGAACTATAAATGACTTCAGATAGTTTGCAATAACATGGCTGTTGCACATGTCTTAACCTTTTCTTCAGTGTTCCTCCACTTCATACAAGTTATTGGTATAAATAAATATCCTCAAGAAACTTAGACTGCAGCTATATTTTGTACTAGAGGTTAAATTATTCCAAATACAATTAATTTTTTAAAAAATCAGATGGTTTCCATCAAAGGCAAGCCTTGTGCTGATTACAAAGTAAATTGGGCATTTAGTGCAAGTAAATGGAAAGCATAATTTGAAACAGGGTTGAGAGGAAGCTTGCTGTTTCGTGAATAGTAAATTGTACTTCTGACATTATAGCTGAGGATTTCTCAGAAAACCAAATGCACGTTCTACACTTTTCTGAAATCAGTTTGTCATTTTTTAGTGAGACACATTTTTGTCCTTCAAAATACATACCTTGACACTTATTATCCTAGCCCTTTCTAAAATTTAGAAATATATAGTCCAGTAAAAAGAAGAAAAAAATATTGGATGTTTTGATTACCTGCTCCTTCAACTCGTTCAGCTGTGAAGTGAGATGGGATACCAACTTCATGGTGCAATTCAGTTTATCCTGAAGACATCGGATCTCATTTTGTTCTCCTTCCCCTTCATTACTGACCAGGGACATGGCTCGCATCCGAGGGAACCAATCCAAGTTCTTGTTCTGCAATGATTATTTTTTTAAAAACAGGAATTTAAACAGTTTAGAATTGTTAGAACAAAACATACAGTAAGACAGTGAAAAACAGTAAGATCTTCCTAGATGGAAGTAAAATTTGTATGAGTTATATAACCTAAAATAAAAAATCTCTTTAATATGCCTGAAGAAGTGAAAATACTATGTAAGTGCCAGAAATACTACGTAGGTGTCTTTCTGAATTGGCATTTTTATTAATGCCTTCTGCTTTGGAGCTACTGACTCACTTCATGAATGGGTTGAAGGTACCTAGCAGAAATCTCAAATAATAATTAGAAGATAAATATCAGAGAACCTCCTTTAAGGCAATTTAATCCCAATCTTCGGAAATTTTGACAATCAAAGTAAACATTTTGAAATGTGGAAATATACTGTAACTAGTGTAGAAATATATATACATAGAATAGTTAAAAGTTTCCAGGCTATTTCGAGTACCGTATTTTTCGGACTAAAAAACGCTCCGGAATATAAGACACACCTAGCTTTTGGGGAGGAAAACAAGGGGAAAAAATCTGTCTCTGCCTCCCTTCATCCATCTGGTATTCATCTGGCCTGTTCGCTGTGGCCTGTTCACTGCTGCCCGTTCACCACGGCCCATTCACTGCCGCCACCGCAGCCCATTCTAAAACAGCTGATCAGCGCCGCACCAACCCCCTCCCTCCCCCCGCTGCAATATTCACTATATAAGACTCACAGAATTTTCCACCCACTTTTTTGGGGGTGCATCTTATACTCTGAAAAATACGGTAATTGCAAGAACAATGGGATATAAACAGTGTTCCTTCTTTCCAGGAACAGTCATAGATCTATATGAGATATACCTGATTATAAAAGTACCGATAGAATATTTGTATCTTATTTGATTAGCAAATGCTCTGAACCATCCAAAATATTACTGCTTGTGGCAATGATGAGTCTAATATCATTTTCATATACATTGGGTGGAATTATTTGTTTTCCAGAACAGCCTAAACATTCAGTCAAATATTTCAACTTATCTATCTTTTCTGATTTGATTCATTTATAAATTGGTGGCGATTCAGCCTACATTCTGATTGCCAAAGTAATTAGTGAAAACATGAATTATATAAATTCCATGAAAAGAACAATAGTCTGCCTGCATGTTTCAGAATCTTTCCAAGTAAAAGTGGAGCTCACTATCAAATCCACCAAGAATCCATGGTTCAATAAGACTGCATAGTGTCCTCGTCTTGGCAAAGGTCATGCCACAGGACGACCAGGCAAACCCCTGTTCCAAAACCAGTCCTAAAATTGGATTGATATGCCTCCACAAAGGCAATACTGGTATGGCTTCCACCGCCATTACCCTTCTCATGTCAACCACAGAAGAGAAAGTGAATGCCATAGAGAACCGGAAATTAAAAGTAATCACTCCTCCTTAGTCACAAACATTTAGGTTCTTAGCTTTGATCTTTTCAATAATTTTTAAAAAGATAATTCCCATCTGTTAAAAAAACTAGAAACCAAATATCATGTGAAGTGTGGTGTGAATTTCATAATGGACAGCATCAATAGAACAGTGAGCAGAATTTCTTTGAAGAAAATCAGGCAGACCTTTCAAAGAGAATAACAAACTTGATTATTATTTCGTGTCTATGAAGTTATACAATGCATACCTTGATCATTTGCGCCACATAGCTTTCAGGCCCTGTATAGTCTGTCTTATTCTTTACTCTCACCAGTACTATGAAGTACAGGTAATTCCACATATTGTGTTCAAATTTAATGTGCTCTTCAAAAGATACCGTTTTGTTGTCAAACTTGTCCCTTTCAAGCCCTGTAGAGAAAGTGAAAGGAAATGTAATACTACTTAGAAACTGCTATGATCCTCCATTTCTTGCTAAGTCTGGTTCTTTGAGCATTTTTCTTCAGCACATTTGTCCTCCACTTGTAGTCTATAGCAATCTGAATGCAGTAGATTGGACACTACCTAATGGATTGATGGCCCTGTTTGTGGCAGACACTTAGAACAGATAGCCTTTGAGATATTTTCAGTCTACATTCCGTAATCTGGAAGAGAAAATGAATGAATTGTAGTGGAGCAGAAAAATTCATATGAGGGTGTTCAGTTTGAACACTTAGATGAATTATTTGTTAAAACAAGACTTCTCAAAAATTCTGTACATGGCAGAAAC